CCCCCCCCCCCAAACTTATTTTTTCTTATCATAAATGTGTATGTTTGAATTTAGCTTTATGTTATGCAAATTGCTTATTTGAGGATTTATATGTGAGATAATACGAAGTTGGTGTATAAGATATTGAAAATTTTATACCTTTAATTGATTTCTTCTTTTGGGGTGTTAAATTTAATGTTGGTTCTGTTTGAATTTGGGTTTTATGTTTTATAAATTACTTGTATGAGGGTTTTGATGTGAGATTTTACAAATATGGTGAGTAGGATGTTGAAAAGTTATAGCTTTGATTGATTTCTACGTTTTGGGTGTTAAATTTTATGGTGTTTTTTTAATGAATTTGGACATTAGAAAAATTGAACTGTCATATAGGGTTCTTGATTCCGCGCTTGCAAGTTTTATAATTTATTAAGAAGTATTATTGAAAAGGCTGACTGCACTTCAATGTTGTAGTTTAGATAATGTACTTGTGCTGGTAGGAGATAGCGGGTAGCAGTGGAATAGTCCAAGTACACGCAAGTTCACCTCAACACCATTGTCGTTTGCAAAAAGTGTTTAGACACAATAAGAACAAGATAAAAGGAAGAGAACGAACAAAAGGTGTCGAATGATGGCCAACTTGTCTTGTCTTGTCTTTTCATTGATTGGCTTACGGATGGAAGGTTCGAGAAGAATTCCTAGGCCGAGTGTTGGGCTTTCGGGATCAAAGAATCTTAAGAATTGCCTCTCTTACTTTCATCCTTGGTTGATGAATTAAGACTGTCCCTCCATCTGAATGAAATCCCGAGGACCGTGTAGTTGCAGCTCCGGGCACCATCAATTCTCTTACTCGTAGGTGTAATACCACTTCCCTGACTTGTTTGGGACTGAGGCGTGATTGTTGTTGTAGGTGTATTACCACTTCTATTCAGGGATAGGGGTAAACACTAGATGGTTCAAGAGCTTCCGCTAACACAGCAAACAATTCTAGATTACCACTTCTCTTAGTAATGGACTTCATTGAATTCCTCGGGAGAAACCACAACAACTGGAAAATAGGAAGAATTTCCTTTTGTCTAAAAAGTCTTGAAGGAGACGTGATTACATTGAACCTGATCGCCTTAAATGGAATGCAAGCAGCAATGATTACAGTGAAGTCCTGTTATCGGCGACTACCAAAAACTGCTAGCACATTGAAACTTGGAATTGGAAGCATATTTGGAGTAAAATTCTGTTCAAGTCTTTCAGTTGTTCTGCGGATTTTATTTTCTTAAAGACTTTAAAATTTGCAGATGTCCGGCTGCATAGGCTCTTTGTTGTATTTTCTTCATGTATGTAGATTTCCTTATTTTTATACTTTTGCGGATAATTTTGTTCTTTGTTATGTTTCTTATCTATGTTCCAGGTTTTGTTCCTTATAGATTTTTATGTTTCTTATCATTTCACATGAAAAAGGTGGAAAGCTGAAATGACATGGTTATAACTATTTCGTCTTGGATCACTTTTATTCAATACTGTGTTTCTTTTTCCTCTAATTATTTAGTCATTGATTCGATGGACAGCATACTATTTATTGAACAGTTTGAGTTCTTACTGATCAGAATCCTGGCTATTCAGCGAATAATGCAAGATCGAGGCTACTTCGGTTGTCTGAAGCAGCAGAGAAATTTCGGCGACAAGCAGCCGTTAGTATTCAAACTGGAAAGGAGAATGACGCCAGGGAGCTACTTTTTCAAAAGAAGAAGATTATGCAAGCGATGGAGAAGTCAAAGAGTCGCATTGAATTGCTTGATGAACTTGCAGCGAAGCTTAATGAGGTATGGTTGACTATTTTTTAGTTTTCTCCAATGATCTAAAATCATTATGACACTTAACAAAAAAATCAAATCAAATCATTACCGCACTTCATAGATTCAAATCCCTACTCAATACGGTACCTTAAGGAGAATCCGAAGCTGGTTGCTAGTAGAAGTATTCCTTTCTGTGGTTTTGTTTATTCACTCATAGGAAAGACTTTAGATATTGTGTTCTGTAACCTTATTGGGAACCTCTACCTATACAATGTAGTTGCTCAAACATCAGATACCAAAAGGTGTTAAACTGATACAGTTGCTTCAATGGTCTTATGGTGTTGAGTTGTCATAAAAAAAGCCCGAGATTTTGACAGGACGTCTTAATGCCCCATGTCTTTGATTCTTTGGTGGATATATGATCATTGATTATAGATATTGCTTGTTCAGGTGAAAGAGCTACTCCCACTAATCATAGAACCGCATTTTGGTCAAAATCTACTTTTATATATATATATATATGTATCTTTTGCTCCCTTTTCATGGCGTCGTGTATTTTCAGGCAATATCTATGAGGGAGAAGCAGTTAATCGGAAATGTTGCTTTTGACCTTGATATTGCTATAGATGATGCTCCAAGTCCTGTTCGAATAGTATCTCCAAAGGATGAAAATACAGATGAAAATGAAAACTTTGACCAGGAAACTTTAACATTAGATGATAGCCAAGAATTGCAAGCTCCAAATGATGGTAATGCAAACATTACAACTGATTATGAATTGAAAAATCTTGAGGCATCAACAAGTGGGAACATGTCCAAGGAAGCTGACAAGATCGATAGTTTAAAGGGGGTATCTTCGTATGAGGAGTTTTTGGAACATATAGACCAACAACTAAGAGATATTGAAGTAGAACTTGTCACCTTTTTTAGATTTTCATCCTTAATACTCGAAAGCAAAGAGAAACTAGAAAACTCAAAGGTACAGCAAGCACTGGACGTTCTCGAGGGTGTTCATCAGCTTAGAGGGAGGTAATGCATAAGCAGATCAAGAAGCAAGTGAACTTTTACTTCTCATTGCTCCACTTTTCAGGTGATTTTTTTATAAAAACTTGACTCAGACAAAATCTCAACTCTTTTGCAGAATTGCAAGCATAGTGCAGAAAAAAGCAGATTTACATTGAAGCTTTCATTCGCTATACGCAATTCCTGCAGTGACCGATGCTAAGGCAAAAGTTTATTTCTTTGTGTTTCCTGTTGGTGGTGCGACTTCGGTAAGATCCTAAGCGCTCTCTCAGAAGATCAAGCTGCTGTAAGATAATAAGATATATGCTTCGTGAACAACAGGAGAAAACTACAGCCTTCTTTCACTGGTAGATATGAAATTCATCGTGTTCTTGTGTACTAATATATTTCTGCATTTTACCAACTCCGTCAATCTCTTTCTCAATTGTACACTCAAGCAATCATATCTCAAGTATCAATTTTGCGTTACTATGTGCTCTATAAGGTGGTTCAATTTTTATAGCTGGATTTTTATCATCTGATCGTTGGTTAGTCTTCTGTTGCCCAAACGATCTGATCATTGATTACATTTTGAAAGGACAAAGATGCAAATACTAGGCAGAACTTGTGGCAATATTTTTAGTACAGTTGCTGTGCTCTGAGAACACTATATATGCTGTAACTAAACACTATATATGCTGTAACTTTATTTTATTTCATAACTCATCCTGTTACTGATGAAAGCTTGGCAGTTTTTCTCCTGAGAATACGCCGGGATAGGACATCTGAATGCAAATTTTCTTTAAGGAGATCTGTTTGCCAGTGATTGAAATTGGAGAGCATAAAAAAGGTGCAAAACCTTGTAACTAGATAAACTTTATCAGTGTAGTTCAGGCCAGTGTTGTGAAAAGCGCTTGCTTCAGCGCTTTAAGCGTGAAGCGAAGCGAGGCGGCCACTGTGTCGCTTCTGTAGGGTGAAGCGTAGCAGGTAGGTTGAAGCGTCCGCTTTTGCCTAAAAAGCGAGAAGCATTAGCGAAGCAAGAAGCGACGGAAGCGCTCGCTTTTGTCTTTTAAGTCACTGATAAATAAAAAAGCGAGTCTTTTTTTACAAAATCAGCGAGCAGCAGAGCAAGCAGCGACTAGTGTTTCATTTTTAAAGCCCAGGTATGTTTGCAGCGACTAGGGTTTCAATTTTCAAGCCCAGGTATGTTTTCTTCTTCTTCTTCTTCTCAGTGCTTAAAATAGCCTACCAATTTTTTTCCCCTTCAGCTCTTATTCTTTTTCTCATTCTCTTCTTCTTATTTTCGTTTTAAGTCCTTAAAATTGCAGCGAAATGCTACCAATTTTTTTTTCCCTTCAGTTCATCATCTTTTGTTTTTAGTCTCACTGCCAATTTTTTTAGTATTGGCAGTTACATGTGTAACATGTGTTGTCTATGCAATATTTATTTTAATATTTTTCTTAATTCCGCTTCACTTCAAAAAAGCGAGCGCTTCACTTCTCGCTTCACGCTCTTCACAATACTGGTTCAGGCAGGAAACTGGTATGATTTTTCAGTCAAGAGTTGGGTTTCTATATCCACATTCAGGTTATCCATAGTAAATGTAGGTTACCTCTGAGCTTATGTTGCCCAAACAATTTGATGATATATCATCAATCTTGTTTAATCTCTTACTGATTACTATCTTCTTCAAATTCTGTAGAGTACTATTCCATGTTATACTCTCAATTTTGTTCTATCCCTTACTGATACTATGCCGATGTCTACCTGAACTTTTCTTACAATATTTCTAGTTCTGTGTCAATTTGAATTTGCCGTATGGTAAGTATAAGTGAAGAAGATAGAACTGAATAAGATTATGTAAGCTGTAATTACGTGAACCTTGCATTGAGCATATCACTTTTACCATTTAACAAAGTAAATAATACCTCTGAAAAAATTAGACACAAAGTAATAGGGTTTTTTCCCCTTAAACATGCACCTTTCTTTTTAAATAATAAAGTTAGATCATAGCTCAGCAGTCTGAAGAATATGTACAAAAATGATACGAGGAAAGGGATAAAACTAGTCATTAGCTGGGGGAAAATGGCCAGAGTGCGCTGATGATATTTTTTTCTCTTTTGGCCTGGCCTGTATGTACATATTCTATCAGACCTGAAAAAACAGAAACATATACAGCTAAAGAAAAAAACTCAGCGCACTTCAGACAGCATTAGTCAAGCTCTTTCCTAAACCACCACGAGCGCCCCCAGCAACTGATTCATCCTTGCAATTCCCGCTTGTATTTGTCGTCTGACTAACACACCTGCACCTGAGGCAAATGAACCTCGCAGGAACAGCATCCAGGTCGGGTATGCCCGCACATCTGGTATGCTGCCAAACACCGCAGACATCACAAGCCAACATCCTCTCCCCATCATCATCCTTTGCTCCACAGAAGCAATCTACTGTCCATCTCTCGACTCCCCTTTCCATTCTATACCTGCTCAGTGCATTTTTCCCAAGGAATTTTCCCCGGACTGTTACAAACTCAGCAGATCCTAAAAGGAGTTTGACCTGAGTGGCTTCTTTCAGCCCGCTGTACCCAACTAACTCATCAGCTTGGAATCTTCTAAACATCAAGTATACATCTTGAAATGTCCTCGTTGCCTCCGCTTTCAAGTCAGAAATAGTAGCATCCGAGGGCAGAATCATCAATTCTGGAGGAGGGTTTCTGGAATGCACATCAGATTGTTCCATAATGTCCACCTCACATAACAGCTGGATAGCATCTGATTTTGGGATAGGCAAGAATCTCTCAGGTTGATATTCTTTCATAAATTGCTTGCAATCAAGAACAATTCTAGCCGAGCGAACTGCAACTTCCCTTTTGGTTAAAGGAATATGATTTAACATTGTCTGCGGGTTTAGCATGCACTCATACAAGTACTTCAAATCTCGACGCAGATGTTCCTCAGATGGGAAGTTTGGAGCGCAAGGCAATCTGTTCTCATTTGTATTCACATTAACCATTGGGTTGCCACGCTCAAGTTTATACTCCATAGCACCAGAACCATTAACACAGCGGGCGTTGACAACCATCCCATCGGCTGCCTGCTTCCCATTGAGCTCCTTTAAGCAACAATCAAGTAGTTCCGGAGGTCCAGCTTTACAGACCGCACCCCTAAGAGCACGCCAGCTGACCCAATTAGACCCAGAGACAGCTCGTAGTACTCTGAACATTGCTTCTTCAACACGTAAAACATCATTACTGGTCCAAGCACATAAGACCTTGGACTTGGAGTCGCAAAGTTTGCGCTTCTTACAAGTGGCATTATCACCAGCCCCCAATGCAGATTTGCGGGCATCACGAATGGAACTAGTCAAGAAAACAAACAGGTCTCTAATATTTACAAGTTCACCTTCCGACAATGACTGATAAAACGAAATCAAATCCTGCAAACGCGTTCGAGGTTTCCTTCCTTGAGATAAAAATATGGTCAAGGGCAGAGAAGAAAGGTTCTCTACAGCTTGTTTATAAGCATTTTGAGTCAAACCAAAACTACCAGCACCAAACTGATAACCCCATTCACTATACCATGGATGACCTTTTGTAAGGGAATGTAGTAGACGTAACTCCAAACCATACTTCTTCGACACATCCATCACACTGATTTTTCTAGCTCCAATAACTTTACAAAGTCGATCCCAGAAATTCATTATATTGTTACCAGAAAGCAACCTGGAGCCACCTTCTCTGCCGTTTACCCTGAGAAGATGCCCATAGCCATTGGAATGGATCACAGCATGCAGAAGATGACTGTTATCTTCCAACTGATGGTACATCCAATCTTCAACATCTTCTGTAGTCATAACATGATTACATGATTTGCACCTAGACTCAGATAAGTGAAGGGCTTCACCACAGCCGGCACACGGCTTGTTATAACCGCCGATTGAATTTCCGTCTCGCTTAATAATAAAGTGAAAACGCTTTGCACAAACCGGATTACTGCTCCAACCAACGACTCGGCACTGGTCGCAATAAACGGATCTAGATCTGGCGACGTCTTCTTCGATTACATCGAGGCAGACGACTGCCGGAGAAGAGTCGTCGTCGCCGACGTCGTTGGTGAGGTCGCCGACGCGGAAGAGGATCTGCCACGTCAGCAGGTGAGGAAACAGCGAAGAAGGCGGCGGTAAGAGCGCGTGCTTCGACAAAAAAGCCTTTACCGTCGTCCTAAACGGTTCGCTACTACCACCGGCGATATTTCCGACGTCAGGGAACGTGAGAAAGTCGTTGAGGTCCGCCGTGACTCTCCTCTTCAACCGCTTCATAGGCCTTCCATTCATTACCACCATACTTGTCGTACCCTCCTGATCTCCGCGCGTGTCACCCAGATCTCGGCGCGTGACGTCGGTTTATCAGATCTGAGAAAGAGCGTGACGATGATGGAAAAAAGTTCTAGAGAAATAGAGGGGGGAAAAGTCTAAGGAAGGTTTGTTTCGGAGTGAGAAATTAGGGTTTGGTAAGTTTTTTTTGGGGCTTTTCTGTATTTTTATATTTATTTTGTTTTCTCCAATTTCGCAGAAAAATAGGAAAAATATTCTGAAGGCGGTGTAACAAGGAAGCTTGACTATTTCGGGTGAGAGATTAAGTATTAGGAAGTGACTGAAATACCCTTGATGGTAAACTAGAGAGACTTTTGAGGGAAATTTCAGGAATATTTGGCCATTTGGGGGTTATTATTAACGGGGCTGGACATATATAGGGTATAATCGATAACTCGAATCGATAAAATGTTATTGGGTTATAGATATCGAGTTATTGGGTATGATCACGATTTCTATAATAAAAACATAAATTTTTTTGGATATTTTTTATTCTTATCGGGTAAACCGATAACCGAACCGATAAGGATCGATAACCGACAACCAATATATTATCGGTTCGGTTATCGGTTTAGCATATTTATAAACCGACAACCGATATGTCGAACCGATAATATTCACACTCGGACGGAACCGATCGATGCCCGCCCCTAATTATTAATGTAGGTTTTTTGTTGGAGAAGACAGGAAGGTTGAGATGAAATGACAGGTGTGCCCTTTGAATTTTGAATGGAGAAGGGACGTGCGTAAAGTAATGCTCACTCTTGCTTCTTTTCCTTTCATGTTTTCTTCGAGCCTGAGGGTTTACCTTCGTAATGTAGGGATAAAATCAGCAGAACCTATTTGTAAAATTATATTGGTTTTTTATTGTTATCGTCGTTATACTTTGGAACATTAATTAAGTATATTACTCCCTCGATACACATCACACACATTAGGGAAATACGAACTCCTAGAGAAAAAAAGTTTGACTATTTCGGGTGAGAGATTAAGTATTAGAAAGTGACTGAAATACCCTTGATGGTAAATTAGAGAGACTTTTGAGGGAAGTTTCAGGAATATTTGGCCATTTGGGGGTTATTATTAACAGGGCTGGGCATATATTGGGTACAATCGATAACTCGAACCGATAAAATATTATTGGGTTATACCCACGATTTCTATAATAAAAACATGAATTTTTTTGGATATTTTTTATTCTTATCGGGTAAACCGATAAGGATCGATAACCGACAACCAATATATTATCGGTTTGGTTATCGGTTTAGCATATTTATAAATCGATAACTGATATGTCGAACCGATAACATTCACACCCGGACGGAACCGATCGATGCTCGCCCCTAATTAGTAATGTAGGTTTTTTGTTGGAGAAGAAAGGAAGGTTGAGATGAAATGACAGGTGTGCCCTTTGAATTTTGAATGGAGAAGGGACGTGCGTAAAGTAATGCTCACTCTTTGCTTCTTTTCATTTCATGTTTTCTTCGAGCCTGAGGGTTTACCTTCGTAATGTAGGGATAAAATCAGCAGAACCTATTTGTAGAATTACATTGGTTTTTTATTGTTGTCGTCGTTATACTTTGGAACATTAATTAAGTATATTACTCCCTCGATCCACAGCACACACATTAAAGAAATACGAACTCGTAGAGAAAAAAAGATGTATTCACTAAATTAATATTAATTAATTGTTACCTCGACACATTGGAATATGTAAATAAGGGCAAATTTTGAAAAAATAAAAATAATTCCTTCTTGTAAATAGACACTTATTTTGGACCAAAATAAAAAGGTAAAACGGTCACTTATTGTGGACCGGAGGGAGTATAGACTATAATTGACTTTACTTCTCAAATTCTTACAACACATTAATTGAGTATATTATTGACTATATTAACTTTTACTTCTTCTCAAATTCATACTTGTTAGGATGGTTGTTGTGTATTGTATCATAATGTATCATATCATATTATATAGTATTGTACAATATTGTTTTGATGACTACAACGTTTGAATAGATTGAATCATTTTCCATTGTTTCATAATTTCACACACCAATAATTTGAAGGATAAACTTATAATATAATAAAGAAAAAGCATGATACGAGGTAGAGTTGATAAAAAAAAGAATAAGGTAAAATATAATTATTATTAAGGACAAAATGAGAAGAAGAAAAATAAGCGATCACACCAAATCAGTCGTTATATAAAATGGAATATTTCATCGTTACATAACGACCAATTTAACAATATGATATAATAAAAATTAAATAACAATCAAAATATTATATTTAAAGTAACAATACAATACAATATAATAGGTAACAACTATCCAAACAAGTTGTCACTCATAGAAAGTTGTAAAGACTTCTTGAAAATCAATTAAAACCTTTGGAAAGAAAAGATTAATAGCTCCTTGAATTTTGAAAAAATCGATTATTTTGGATCAGATAGAAAATACTAAAAGAATTAAATAAAAAAGATGGATGGAGCAGGTGATTATCCAATATGTACTACATCCTGCAATTCAATTGGACATTGATGCAGATTCTCTTAAGATGGTTATACTAAATTCCTTATTCGAGGAATAATCTACCTAATTGTGCAGAAAATTGGCATATGAAAATGTCAGTTGTGGATGTTGCATCTCCATTCTCCAATAGGCAATGGATTTCTAGTTGCTATTTTTTTTATAACCGTGATGTCCGAGCTAACTTGCACGCACCTCGATTAATTTCACAGGGTACCTGTCACCTCCCACCAGTAATAGGTACCAAGCAATAGGTATCAGGTAACTTTATCCACCAAAGCTTGGATAGATGGGAAAAAATCACTTAGTAATTTTGCTTCCGTTAGATTTAAACCTAAGACCTCACGATTCTCACTCAATTCATTGACCACTATTGACCACTACACCTCACACTTGGATGCGGATTTCTAGTAGCTATTATGTAGTATGTTTAGTCATCTCTCTAGTTTTAGAGGTCGCATGTTAATTTAATAACATAGGGTGTCACTGTATAGATGTCAAGTTGTAAAAACCTATATTGCTCGAACTTTCAAAAATATTGTTAGATGATGTTCCAAAAGCAATGGATTTTCGGAGGATATGACACGGGTACGGCATTACTTTTAAAGAGTCCGCGCAACATATGTAAAAACTAATCTGTCAATACAGTTAAGAAGCATGGTGTTTCTTTTTCCCCTTTTACCACTAGTGACAACATACAAAATCTTTCCGAAGTTTTCATCATGATGCAGTACTTAGACAAAAAATGTTTAGATCAACTAATTAAGACATATTTGTCTCCATCTGATAATATGCCTGCAGCACCGGCTGGCATCTTAGCTTCTGAAGCATCCTTTCGAACCTGAGCATGCGATTCAGCTTCGTGCTGGAACATCTTGACGAGTTCTTGCAACTCTAGTCTTCTAACCTCGACCTGCTCCTCGATGACTGGTTTTTTCAATCCAAGATAGATCAATCCAATAGCAATCAACACAGCTCCTAGCAAGACGAGAGAGAGCGAGAAGAAGGCAAATGCATATGGGGAACCCCCATTTCCAGGAATTCCATCCACATTTATCCCAAAGAGCCCGGTGATAATAGAAAGAACAAGTCCACAGCCTCCAAATACACCTAGATTATGTTGGACACGAAGGCTCTGATCCTGAAGTTAAAAGAGGTTCGGAGTAAAAGCTCAATAGAAGTACATGAAAATTACTGTCAAATAAAGATGAACACTCCTAATACACGTCAGAGGAAATGTCTGATATGTAAGCGAACCACCGCTCAAATGTGCTCACTGAGTTGGTCGTCGGTTGACTAACATCCCCCCAGAGAAGAAATGAAGAAACAAAGTGTTTATAGGTTTCAGCTTCATTTATATACACCTTCACAACCATTAATATTTTTTATTTTTGTTCTTTTATTTCTTGGGCCTGTTGGTCTAGCAGATGATTCAAGAGTGAAGTTAAGTCTGGTGATAGTTTTATTAAGTTATAGTAGATCTTTACTACTGATATTTCTATGAATTAATAACACCACATATGGAAAGAACTTCACTCGAAGCTGCATATCAAAATCAAAGATAACCACTTAAAGTTGTGCTGTGGAACTTTCAACTTAAATCACGTATTTGGAATAGAATTTATCATATGATAACAAACTTATGGCACCTGTAACCATGCACGGACGGTACTCTGCATGACATCCTGAATTGTAAATAAGCGACCGCGAACCGCTTCTTGCTCTTCAATCATTTGTCTTGTACTTTTTAGTATTCCTTGAAGCAAACTCCTTGCAGCATTTCCCCTCAGATGTTGGAGAAGCTCGACTACAATCTCCTCTCTTGCATGTAAAGACCATTTTACTCGTATAACCTTGAAGAAAAAGAGAAATAACATATTGGTCCAAGTCCGACATATAACATGCTTTTAAACAGTAGTCTGAAATACAAAATCCTCTCAAATATAAAAATGAAGTTCATAGATATTCCTATACCTTGAATAAATCAAGGGAACTAGTAGAGAATACCTGAATGACATGTATAGTGTTAGACTTATTTTCAAATGTTTGAATTGTCTTTGTTGTACTTTTCACCACCAATCAAAGTGTTGTGCTAAGACTCAGGAGGAAGAGTCTCACAGCGAGACAAGCTTTCTTAGAATGTTAATTGCTTTTCTACATTTCTCTTTTTCTAATTGGCTTTGGCATCAATCAGAATAAGCACATTTTTTATGCTCTGAGGGATCAATTTCCTACAACCATGAAACTAAAGGTACCTGTGTTGAAAGCCTTCTAATTTCTTGATTCAAAATTATACGGAACAAGTGCATATCTTCATGTGTTCTCCTGTCCAACAGGGTTTGCTTCATAAGTTAATAATGGATACGAGTAACTAAACCAAGTGCAATGTAACTTCCGTTTCATCGCAAAACAGTCCATAGTCATGAGAGGGAAAACCTGTTCATGAACTTTAGTTCAGCTTCATCAGCTGCCCCAAAAATATACTTCCGAAATAACCTAAACAAATGCGTATTAGATAGTTGAAAAAAATCCACAATCATAAATTCCAAGCAACTTTAATCCAAAGTGAGGAAGTTATAGGTTTCAGCTGTGAACCATAAATGCAGAGGCAAAAGCAATCGACAATTTGAAGCAATTGGAAACAAACAGTAAATTTTACAATCTTTAGACAAAGTTAAGTAGCATGAAACATAAAGGTCAAAGAAAGTAGATGGATGGGACAGGAAGGAAACAAATGGCATTGTACTAAGTACAGAAGTTTAAATAAATCTTACGAAAAAAGAAAAACCAAAAATTGTCACTGCCTAGCAGTGTCACCTACGATTTATACAAGTATAAATATACGGTTTATGTCACGAACAGGATTGCTCAGATGGTAGGAGTTGTTCCCATCCAAAGCACTGAAGTTCACATCTTGATCCACTCCTATTTACTCTGGATAACTTGTATTTACTGAAGACGTTTAATATAATTGATACATACCATCTAAAGAAAGAAAAATAACAAGAAAGATGTCGTTTCCCTGAGATGGAAAAACATCAAAAAGTTGTAGCAACGAATATGAGACAAAGGGACTATAATATTGAAGGTATGCCATTTCCCATGTCTTAAATCTATTTTATCTTTTATTTTGAGAATAAAAATCTCAATTTTTCCCCAAAACTTGTCCGTGGACTCCGGTCAAAGTATCCGAAGTTGGTTGATCGAATCCCAAACATATCCCGCACCCGCACCCGTCTAGTGTCGTGTCGACACGGGTTCGGCATAAAAAATGAAGAGTCCGCACAACGTAGATCATGACTGGAAAGTGCCCGAGTCTACTCTCATTGTCCTTACACGAGTCTTGGCTCCGTCGTACATGTCCTTAATCGCCCTAGTATATGCGACATGTACACCTCTAGCCTCCAAACATCTCCACAGAACCTCCTTTGGGACTTTACCGTATGCTTTTTCTAGGTTGATGAACACTATATGTAAGTCCCTCTCCTTTTCCCAATAATGTTCCACCAATCTCCTTACAAGATGAATGGCTTCTGTAGTCGATCGCCCCAGCATGAATTCAAACTCATTCTTGGAAATAGACACACCCCCTCCTAACCCTCATCTCCACCATTATCTTCCAAATCTTCGTGGTATGGCTCAGTAGCTTGATACTCCTATAGTTGTCGCAATTTTGAATATCATCCTTGTTCTTGTACAACAGAATCATTGGGCTCCATCTCCATTCTTCGGGCATTTTTGCCGTCATAAAAATGACATTAAATAACCAGTAAGACACTCCAGACCTCCCTTCCCGCGCTCTTTCAAAATTCCATCGTGATCTCGTGTGGCCCGGCCGCTCTTTCCTGCTTATCTTACGCATAACCCCCTCAACCTTCACAACCTTTACATGCCTACACCACCCACAATCTCGATGCCTCTCGGAGTGTTGCCCAGCACAATATTTATGTTCATTTCTTCATTCAAGAGTGTATGGAAGTATATCTGTCATCTTCGTCTAATATGTGTCTTCCGCCAATACTTTTTCTTGCTCGTCTTTGATGCACTTTACTTGATCTAGGTCTCGGTCCCTCCATTCTCTCGCCTTAGCTAGCATGTAGAGTTTCTTATCCCTGCCTTTGTCCTCAAGCTCTATATATAAACGTTCAAATGTTGTTGTCTTCGCCGCCGTATACCACTAACTTCGCAACCTTATACCTCCCCCTATGTGTCTGTTTATCTTCCTCGTCTTTGCACTCCAGTAAATTCGCATAAGCGACCTCCTTGGCCGTTCTACCACTAATCCTCTCGATGTCCCCCAGCATTACCCCTTGACTGCTTCCCTAATATAACTAGTTGTCCGATCCCACATACTGCTTGCATCCACACTATTCCCCAAGCCCCCATCGCCATCAACTTCTCCCCCAACTCCTAAGCTCTAGCGGTAGTCAAGCCACCCCACTTGATCCTAAGCCTATCGCACAAAGCCTTCTTTTTCCTCTTTGTCTTAATCTCTAAATCCATCGCCTAGAGTTTTATGTTGGATTGTAAGATTCTCACTCTGGGATAAACTTGCAGCCCTTACAAAGAACTCTATCATCCTTCCTAGGGAGTAAGTAATCTATTTGAGTCTTAGCCAGGCGGAAGGTCACCAAGTGCTCTTCCTTCTTCGGGAAACTCAAATTGACTATCACCAACTCAAAAGTTTTCACGAAATCCAAAAGCGAGACTCCTTTGTTTTTATCCCCAAAACCAAAACCTCCATGCACAACGCCATACCCCCGGAAGAAAAAAAAAAACAAAAGAAGAAAATTGAATAGAAAAAAAAATGTAATTAAAAAAAGTGATCCTTAAAAGGGAACCTATGCAAAAAGGCTTACAAACCCCTCAAAAAGCAAGAAATATAGAAAAAACATATTTTCTGTAGAGTCAAAGCTATTGCGTTGATCAGTAATACCTCCTTTTTCAACCTGCTTCAAGCATTTTGTATTTGACAAGGAATATAATATGGTTTGAAATCAGATGAATTCAAAAGATTCTGGCAAATAAGGATATAATGAACATGAGGTCCCTGGTTTGCTAGAATATGCAGTCAGAATAAGCGGAAAAATTTTAACATAATGAGATCTGAAACACAATAGAACATGTAAAAAGAGAAAACTGACACCTGTCATCCCACCGGGCCAAGCGACAAGTTAGGAGTGCTACAACCTCATGAATTGTTCGTGGGACATTACAAGACCCCGCCGCGAGTAGCTCCTATGCACCATATCATTAAACTATGAGAAATCTATAATTAAACAATCCAAGCATTACATTGTCTCCACTCTCCAGTAATGTCAAACAGATGATAGGCAGAAGGATAGCTTGCTACATAATCATTGACAAACCTGAACTTCTGCAATACCTAACACGTTGATATTTGTTGCAGATCCTTTAACATGCAATGCAGTTAACAAGAAATTGTGTGCTTGCCACGATCGTAAAACAACTGGTATATCATCTTCTTCAACAAAAGGATCACCAACTGACTGCCCCAAGAGCTCAAATAGTAGTCCACCAGCCACTCTAACTGGCACCTGAGCCCAAAACCGCAAGAAGTGAAAGGTTATAGAAGCTCAAATCTGTGGACATAGTTTTCACATGGAAATATAATAATCACCGTAGTACACAGATATTTGATTTTCCTTTTACAAACTATCCATGATTCTCTGCATGTATTTAGGCTACCAGAACTCTCAGGTCCAAATTTAAACCTCAACAAAGAGCCAAAATATTTAAATAAACGTTTAGAAAAAGCAAAATGCTGTCTGTCATAGCTCGCCTTTTTCCTTCTTTTTCCTCCATAGCTTTTTGTTCAAAATATACTCTTTCTATATCCTTGGTGTTCTTAGCAGAGTTCTCACAAACAAAATTGAAAATAATAAAAGAAGATTCATGAATACCTCGGACAAAACATAAAGAACTTTTGTGGGATGATGCTATTTGAGTTGATAGAGACAGTGGCTCTTAATGATGTCCTTTGTAAATAAGTGACAATATATAAGCCAAATTTTGGGATTGAGTTAGGCCCAGAATCCATTTTCTTAACGTGATATCAGAAACTCATCTCTATTTTTTGTTTACTCAATGTTGGGCCTCATCCATGTTATATTGTTCATGCTCTAAATGTCCAGAACTAGGTGTGAGAAGAGGAGTTAGAATGTCCTAAATTGGTAGAAAGAATGAGTTATTGTCTCCTTATATGGTCTTAGGCAATCTTTACCATATGAGCTAGTTTTTAGGGTTGAGTTACGCACAAGATCCATTAACATGGTATTAGAGTCAGACCCATCTCTATTCTTTGTTTACCTAATGTTGGGCCCCCAAGTTATATTATCCACGCTCCAAGAGTGTCCAACCTTGGCTATGCGGAGGAGTGTCAGAATGCCACAAATGGCTTAGGGAATGAGCTGTTTATTTCCTTATATGGCCTTGGGCAATCCTCACCTCATAAGCTAGCTTTTGAGGTTGAATTCAACCCAAAGTCCATTTTTCAAAAACGTCAAATTGTGGAGAGAAAATGGTTTACAAAATCAAATGACTGGTTGCCAGGTTAACAGACAGAAGCTCTAATCTCAATGATCTTAAGAACCGGTGTCAGATCACCTTAAACATGCCATTTAGCAGAGATAAGATCCCATTACGGACTGTCTATATTCGGTCCTCTCCTTCTATCCCAGTTGCAATGTCATAAAGAGCCATTTATACATGGAATATGTACCTACCAATGTAGGTAGTAAGTAACATTGGGCTTGTCTGAGCATCTTTTGGTGCTTCTTCTGAGCAGCCTACTAGAAGGCCTAGAAGTAGAAGTGGCTGGTCAGTGATATAATTTTGTAGCATAAAACACCATTACTTGCATTTCTTTTTTCCAGGTTTTTCAAAGTTATCAAGAACAAATTCTCCTCTAGGTCATTTTAAGGACCAATGGTGTACTTCCTGATGCAGTTTTAATCCTTATAAAGTTCTACATCCTAAAAATTAAAAAGGAAGGAAAAAACCAGAATACCCAGGCAGATTATGCAATAGGTTAGAGATCATGTTGCTATTAGGAGCCAAAAGAAGGTTTAATCTTCCCGAGGTTGTTAGCGGTATAGCATGCTCGAGTATAAACGTATACAAGCGAAATACCTCATAGAGAAGGTGCTTCATACGTTCACTAATCAGCTTACTTTCATCTCGCAAGGCAATACTTATGGCAGGATGTAGCCACTGAGCATTGTTCAACCATGCGTTGACGAAAGGGTGACCAGCAGCTACATGACACCACCAAGTTGGTCCAACTGGGCGTTCCCAGTATGGAGCTGCAACATCTGCTACAGTGACATCATCTTCCTCATCAGTAAGCTCAACAGGCTGAGAGGCCCAATCTGTATCAATATGCACTGTTTGAAGCAGCTCAGATATTCTAGCCCAGCCTATTGGTATCCAGTAACTACCAGAAGACCTTTCTCGGGGATTATAAGGATAATCTTGTTGATAACCTTGGCCATGTGGGTTCTCGATGTCAACATATCCAGACTCTGTACAATAAGGTTCTATAAACTGATCCTTGTCGACATCTTGGGGTGAGGAATAACTCACTCGACATTTAGATAGTGGTGGCTTTTTAGTTTCCCTGGCAGCATAACGTCGTGCGGAGTGATTTTTAAAAGTGGATCTTGATTCATTTGTCTTCAGTTGGCCACGGACAAATTCAAAGGCACAAAGCAGTCCATCTGTCCATAACTCTCCCAGCATAACATCTCTGGACAGTTGCTGTTTATGATTCTCTTGGTTCTTCATGCCATTGCTCATTTCTGCACTCTCATGAGTAACACTACTCATTTCGCTCCCCCTTTTAGTTTCAGCTTAGCAGACATTCCTGAAATACTCAGCAATAGATGGACTCAAGTCTGTAAAAAAGGTTACAAGAAAAAGGAAGACAACAACGAGAGAATCATAGATTATCAGCATTATTTGAGGATTGCAAGTATTAACGTTTTGCCTAGACCAGGTCACGTTTGTAATGTAATCTCATGGAACCATTTTAACAAAAAAATTGAGTTACTCCGATTGTCCAATCGATTCGGGCAACAAAAGGTAATACCATTATGTCATAAAAACTAAAGATATATACTAAGACCAAAGGAACTAATGCTGCTGATATGAAAGATGCAAACTACACGCCCACTTATCACTCCACCACTTCAATACCAACTAAAGATATATACAAATACCAGAGGAACTAATGCTGCTGATAGGAAAGTCAAGGGCTGTACACCCACTTATAACTCTACCACTTCAATTCAACGAAAAACATGATGAAATTATAAAAGTTCCCATCTTCCCAAGTATCACTGGTGGTGACTAGAGCAGCTGCAAATGATGGTGATTCTTGTTCATAACAAGCCGATAAATAGCAGGAATAATATATTCAGGGATATTCACCAGCACTTATGGTAGAAGTTATGCACAAAACTACATGCACTAATTATTCATCAACACTTTCGATGATCGTCACAAAATGGTGTATAACAAATATTAGAATTATCATTATGGGAAGAAGAATGGTTTTCAGCAGGTAACTCGCTCCAAATTGTGGGATTATCTTTTTACCGAAACTCAACTGAATATGCATGAATTGAGACACATTCACCAAAAATTACATAATTTGCACTTTTAAGGCTCATGTATATTAGTACAGCCAGAAATCCACTAAGTATTAGTACACTTCGAAAGCGTATCATGCATTCAACAGTTAACGGTACATTTCTAGACACATGTTTTACAAGGCATAACAATGACTAAACAGAGAATAGAACCAATGAAGGAAAATATTTTTCTTGAAAAAGTCATTTATGGTGTTTCTGGTGTTTGGTTACGGAAAAATATTTTCCAAAGGAAAAAAAATTCCACTGAAAGGGGAAAAATTGTTCCTCACTTATGAGCGGATTTTATTTTCTTTACAAATATCCCAACTCTTAATCCTTACATGTCACTTGCTCTAAGCCTTACCAACACATACACATTAGTATCAAACTATAACACTCAAAAAATTCATAAAACCGTTTTCCAAGACGCCTCAATACCAAACAAGTAGAGATTAGCTATATGAATCCCCATTGATCATGTTCCCCATTTAAATTCATCTTAAACCATCATTGTACAAAGTAAAAAAACAAAAATGAAAAGTATTAGAAATTCTCTACATTCCCTACTAGCATACAAATCACTAATGGGGCTAAAGAAACTCCTAGAAAGCATAGCACTTAAAGTAAAACTCCGCCATAGCGACACGTTGCCGGCTCAAGCCGGCCGAATAAAAGAGGAGGGTTGCAGTCAGTGGCGAAGCTAGAAATTCAAACTTGAAAGAAGTGAAAAATTCACCGACAATTCAGTATACCTTATATAACTCTAAAACCTAATATTTTACATATACCCGGTGTAAGTTTTCGACGAATTGACCACCCTTTAAGACATGTAGCTTCGGCAGCTAGCGTAAAACTACCCAATTCATATGAATTCGCTGATATTATCATCAATCTTTCATAAATTGTACATTCACCAAACATGCTTCTCTCTCTATATATATATATTGCATAAACGTTTAGGAGAACTTACGATTAGAGAGGGTGAAGAGTGATTGACCCCAGATGAAGAATTTGTCCCTTGAATTCCAGAATTTTCCTGTGCGCTTCCCTCATATATTCCGCCGTTTCTTCTATACATGCCAAACTGCCGCAATCTGCTGACTGACTGAAACCCAGCGCCCACCGATCACTAATCAATTCGAAGCGCCTCACCCTCAATTTTATCAACAAAAACGAGTATGTTGCATATTTTAAGGGGTGAATAAGTTTAACTACAACTTTGAACAATTATCATTTTCAATCATTTTATACTAGGCAATGTCTATATTACCTTCATATTTTCAACTCTTTCTATATGTAATACTTTGTTTATATTATTTAGATATTTTTTATGGATGAAAATTATTTAACTCCCCCAAATTTACTCTAAAAGTTAAACTCATTCTCCAACTTTAAATAATTTTCATCCTTTCATCCTACGCAAGGTCTATTTTAACATTGATATTTTCAACTCTCCACATTATTCTAGATCTGTGAACACATTTGACTCGGCACAAAGTTTAAAAAAAGAGATAAGACTTTTGAACTTATGGTATAAAATAAGGCACATATATTTTGTGTGGTTATAAATTATTGCATAAATATAAATTATTTCCAAATAGAAAAATTAGTCATTCTTTTTCGCGTGGACTAAAAAGGAAATAAGTTCACTTAAATTAAAATGGAGGGAGTATATAAAATAATTATATTATGAATTTATTACAAAATGTATTGCTACTTTATTATTATTTTAATATTATGTATATTAATATGCATATAATTTATGTCGATGTGTGTGTGATTTTAAGTTCCATTATTCTTATTATTCTCTATGTGTATATAAATTTTGTGTTTTGATTGTTATTACTAGATTTTTTCTAAATTATAATTTAAGTTCATGTAAAGTGTAAATAGATAATTTTTGCAAATTTATTATAAAATCTACCTCTATTTTACGCCCATTATTTTTTTTATTACCTGCATTGTATAATTTATAAATTTTTCACTCTGTTTTATTCTCAATTTTGTAAATAGATTGAGTTTTGATTGTTATTAATAAAATTACAGATACGAGTAAATTATTTATTGTAATTTTTTATTTTTCTCATTTATTTCACTATTGAACATCATTAACTTATATGGTTGGCTACTACTTCTCACTCTTTTGGGTTTCGAAAAAGTTTTTTTAATTTATCTATAGGTATAGGTAAGTCGATAACATAAATTAAAATAAAAAAATATCATTATATTAAAGAATAAAAATAAGAGATAAAAATTGTAGAGGGTAAAATAGGCATTTTAAGGAGTCACCTTTGATATGAGGAGTAGAATGATAATTGTTCAAAGTTGGAGGAAGAGTTTGATTTTTAAAGCAAACTTGAGGGATGTAAATGATTTTCATCCTATTTTAAGATATTGTTATATTATTTAAGTTGACTACATTTTGTTCAAATACTTTAAAAATATTTTACACATATAAGGAGTTGTGAGCGGTTGGCTTTAGCGGGTATGCGAAGAGGTAGAAGGCGGCTTAAGAAGTATTGGGGAGAGTAGAGCAGGCGTGACATGGCGCGACTTCAGATTTTCGAGGACATGACCCTTGATAGGAAGGTGCGTAGGTGGAGCATTAGGGTTGAAGATTAGGAGGTAGTTGAGCATTTTTCTACTTTGTGCCGGGTGCGAGGCTAGTTTGACAGTGTTCTGTCCTAGACTGCTAGTGGTTCATGTTGTGTTCGTACTATTTTCCATTTTCTTAGTACCATACCTTTGTTACTGGTTATTGTTATTTCTTTCCCATATATTTTCTGGTTCTTACGATGCTGGTATTAACTTTCTAGCTTCTGTTGATGTTACTGATCTATTATCTCTTTTCGTCTTCTTGAGCCGGGGGTTCATCGAAAACAACCTCTCTACTCCTTCGGGGTAGAGGTAAGGTTTGCGTATACACTACTCTCCCCAAACCCCACCTGTAGGATTTTACCGGGTGGTGGTTGTTGTGGTTGTACATATAATATTATCAAACAGTTTAAACAGCTTTTAATCTACAAATTTGCACTCTCTATTTTATTTCATATGGCACTTTTACTATTGTAGACACGAGAAATTCATTGAATTTAGTCCATACATAATTTGGGCTTAATTATTAGGTTTGTAAAATATTGACACTAAGTCTAGATTAAATTATTTAATCCAAAATATGGATTTAACTAAAAGTTCAAATTCGAGCTAGTCCATTGAGTTGGTTTTCAAATGATGAACGCGCTCCATTAGTCGAAAGTCTATGTCATGTGTCAAAGGACATGGCATGCCTAGTCAAATAAATGACCAATAAAATAATGCCATGTGCGCAAGTGTTGTAGCGTGTTAGTCAAAATAAGAACCAATTAAATGTAGATAAGTACTCAAATGATATGGTTCAAGCAATCACGTGCAATCTTATCACTAGCATTGGTGATAGGTTTGATGATTCAAGTACACCAATCATTGGAGGAAAAAAGTTTGCACAAACTCTCTTCCCCTATAACTATAAATAGGAGTCTCCATAAGACCAAAATATAATCAGAAAATGCGTAGAGAAACTCTCATATCTAGTAGTGGTCCGCAAGTCTTCCACATATCAAGAAGTCTTCTTCTCTAAATGGTGAGCCGCAAGTTTTTATACCTCCACAATTGTGATCAAAGTCTGGCTCTGCATTTGTGGTGAAATTTCAACAACATATAATCCATCAATTTGTTACGAGTCTCTTAATAGGGGAAGGGCATAGTAGTCATTTCAGGGGGGAAAAGTTAGTTAGGCGGTTAGACAATGTTAGTTAGGGGGGAGCTGACATTTAGTTAGAAGAGAATCTCGACTAGAGAATATAAGGGAAGAAGCTCAGTTATAATAGCTATTCATACTTAATACAATAACATTTCTCTCTCTCTAATCTTTCTTTGTGTTCTTAGTTCTTCAAGAACAGTGTAGTTGTAGATTGTTCAAGAGTTATTCTCTCAATTGGCTCTTTAGGTTTACAGATTTGTACTTAATTCAACTAGGTACATAACATTGGTATCAGAGCGACGATCTTAGGTGAAACTATGTCGGAGACGATGACCAGAAACGACGAAGTCTGATGGGAATTGGATTAGCTCTGTGAGCAAATTCGTTCCATGGTGGAGAAACATGATGAAAAGGTTCGAGAAATGGGGGGAAAGGTAGGAGGACGCGTTGGGTGAAATCTGTCAATTCATTACGGCTATGACAACCAACCTTAGGGTGGTTGCCGGAGCTCCGGTAGAAAATGGGGGAAATCACGGTCATGGTAATAATAACCCATTTGGAATGAGATATTCTAGGGTGGAATTTCCTAAATTTAGGGGTGATGATTTGGATGGATGGATTTACAGGTGTGAGCAATTCTTTGAGGTTGACGAAACTATGGAGGAATCTAAGGTACGACTAGCCGCCATTAATTTGGAAGGTCGGGCGTTACAGTGGCACAAATCATTGATGAAAGCCAGAATAGGCAGGATGCCTAACTGGAATGACTATGTGCGAGCTTTACAGCTAAGCCTTGGTGACAATTTGTATGATGATCCGATGGCGGAGCTAGTGGAATTGAAGCAGACAGGAATAGTGCAAGAATTTTTGGACAAATTCAATGGGATAATAAATCAAGTGGAATTGATTGTGGAGTGCTCGATTAGTTGCTTCTTGAATGGGTTGAGGCCAAACATTGAAGTGCAGGTACGTATGCTAGCACCAAGAACTCTTATGAAGGCTTATAGCTTGGCTAGATTAGCAAAATAATCCTTGAAGTTGCAAAGAGAACATAACCAAGTGGCTATTAGGAGTTCCAGACCATTGCTTCCTAGCCCCAATTCTTCATGGCAATCGAGGAACTATTCTCAGCACGTGAACAATGACAGCCATAAAGGATGAGGGGGCAGGGTTCCTAATCAACCTGAAGTCAAATACTCTAGGAAACTGTCAACTACTAAGATGGATGAAAGAAGAGCATAAGGCTTATGTTACTAGTGTGATGAGAAATACTCTCCTAAGCATGCCTGCAAGAAGAGAAAACAATTGTACCTTTTAGAAGTAGATGGGAAGGGGAAGAGTGGCAACTGGAGGATAGTGTGGAGGAAGAGAATTTTGAAGAATCTGCCTTACAACCTCAAATGTATGTCCATGATTTGGATGGTACAATGGATTATAGAACTATGAGGGTGAGAGGAGGGGTTAAAGGTAAGATGGTGCATGTCTTGGTTGATTCGGGGTCAACACTCAACTTCGCGTGCTTATCCATAGCCAAGAAGTTGGGGTGTAAGTTGGAAACTACTCCACTTTTTCAGTGGTTGTTGCAAATGGTAGCAAAGTGCATAGTTATGTCACTCCCCAAACCTAGGGGGCGTGGCTGGCACCCAGTGCCTTACTGGCGCGGGCGAACCACTCTGTAACTCATGATCGTTCGACCAAAACTAGAACATGCATAGGTCGAGTTGGCTAAACTCATTCTTTCTGTAACCATCATAGGCCAACATGGTCACAACTCGTAATGTATAATTGTAAGTGGGAAAACGCTATATCAGTGATCCATCGTACTTAAAATATGAATACACACGGGCCGTCAATACGAATAATATATTGAGTATGTAAGGCATGTAAATCAGTATAAAAAGGACATGAAAGAAACATGGAATAAAGGACTCAACCTGTAAGTATGGATAGCTCTGTAAATCATGAAATATTTATAATGTCATGCATATGCGTATAAATATCATATAATACATAGGTCTATGCGTACATAACATCATCAAGCCTCTGAGAGCATCCCATCATATCATCTCAGCATTTGTGGGCAAAATCATCAACGTATACCAACTTATCAGGTGGTGGTGTGTATATAACGCCATAACATTTTCCCATATCCATATACATATAATATACGCGTATATAACGCCATCTGGTCATGGGTCAATGTACATATATAAATGAATACAATTCATAAGAATTAAGTCAATAAGATCTCTCGAAATGTCATAAGATCAATATTCCTTCGGATAAACTTTATCAACTACGTATTTTTGTGAGACCTCTAGTACTTCTATGAATAGAGTCATTTATGAAAGTTGTGCGTTCTCGTTTCGTTTGTATCATATGGATCATGCCAAAAAGAAAGAAGAGATAACCTTAACATAGCTTTAATATCAACTTCCTACTTGTATTTGTGAACAATCTCTTCTACGCCTCAATCTCGAACTACTTCCGGCTTAACGATAGCACGAGTTC